TCCCAGGTCTTTAACAGACATCAGAGATTTCCACACGGGGGAGAAAGCCATAGGCCTGCCCTGAGTGGGCGGGAAATGTTTTTTTTCAATGAGGTTCCATGTTTACAGTCATCAGAGATCTCACACAGGGGAGAAGCCACTTTCCTGTTCTGAGTGCGGGAAATGTTTTTCTGATAAGTCCAGTCTTCGTATTCATCCAGAGATTGCACACAGGGGAGAAACCATATTTCCCCTGTCCTGAGTGTGGGAAATGTTTTTCAGAGAAGTCTAATCTTCACGCACATCAAAGGTCTCTCACAGGGGGAGAAGCCATATGGCCTGTCCTGAGTGTGGGAAATGTTTTTTTCACAGAAATCCAATCTTTACACACATCAGAGATCTCACACGGGGGAAGAAGCCGTATGCCTGTCCTGAGTGTGGGAAATGTTTTTCAGTGAAGTCCCATCTTTGCAAACATAAGAGATGTCACACAGGAGGGAAGCCACTTCCTGTCCTGAGTGAGGGAAATGTTCCTCACTGAAGTCCCGTCTTCTTCCTGTACAACAGGGGGTCCCACACAACCCTGGAGGTGTATTAGTGCCTTGAGTGCGAGGAAATGTTCTTCTAGAATGAATGTTGCTGGACATCCCAGCTCTACATCATGTGGGGAAGAAGCACACCCTGCTATACATCTCAGATATACTCCATGGCTGATCTTCATCATGGAAGAAACAGTTCATAAGGAGATTAGAGGCCGCCAAAGACATGGATGAAGTGTGGGACCGGGTTGGCTATTGATAGCAGCTCAGTGGTTAGCCCTTCTGCCTGGCAGTACTAGGGTCATTGGTTTGAATCCCAACCATGGCACCACCTGCCTGGAGTTTGCATGTTCTCCCTGTGCCTGTGGGGGTCTCCTCCAGGTACTCTGGTTTCTTCCCACATGCCAAAGACATGCTGGGAGGTTTATTGGCTCCTGTCTATATTGTCCCTAGTATGTGTATGTATGAATGTGAGTTAGGGGTGGTATTGTGCTGCTGTTATTGATTGCTGTATTTCAGGAAAAATCCCCCATTATGTCCAATAGATGGAGGGCAATGTTATTACCAGGCTGCAGCTAGGGGGAGCTCTAATGTCACCCCAGCAGAGGGATCCCATCTAGCCCACATTAACCCTCTCACTGCCAGAGCTGTTTCTGCATGATTTTGCACACATGGGAAAATGCAGATTTTGGTCCTGAAGATGAGATAAACCCCCAAAATCTATTCTGTGACATCAGAGGCCCTGGAGAATAAAATGGTGGTGATTGTTAAGGTGTTCCCGTACACAGATTCCCCTTCATATCCGCCTTTATTTCCTCCTTTCCCCCATTTTCTATGTTGGGATCTTTTCTACAATACTTTGTTATAATAATGGAACACGTTGTGTATTGTATTGTACACCAATAATAATGACTCCGCCCCCACATTCCAGACAAGGGATCTTCCTGACCAATCGGATTTCTTCCTTTACTATTTCCTGATTTTTTTTTTTTTTCTGCAATCTTGTTGAAAGTGAAATTATAATAAAAAATGTATTGAATGAAAAACAAAATGGTGTGTGTGTGTGCAATGATGACAAAGCTGTGTATCCAGAAACGGCTGGTCGGTGACACTTCCATATACAGCCCAATGAAGTGACAAGGAAGCCCTAGAACCCTTTGGAGGAACCCTGGCTGAGAAAGGCTGGACTAGGCAGTCACATATCTCTGCCCCCCTTGCAGGGTTCCCAACCCTCCGTGACTTTTATTACTGACACAACATGAACATTTACTGACGGAGGACATGTTTTTCCTGACATCCTGAAAAATGACAGAACTCCTGTTAGGATTATTATTATACAGTATTTATATAGCGCCAAAGGGTATGCTCAGCGCTGTACAGTAGCGGGGGGGACAGAACATGAGACAAGACAGTGACAATACACTACACAATACACGAGGGCACTGATCCTTGGAGCTTACAATCTAGGAGGGAGGGGAAGGTGGCACAGGAGGAGATGGCTGTGGGGGATGGGAGTGGGAGGAGGAGTGGAGGAGGTTAGTTGTTAGGTGAGGTCGGGTGTTAGGTGAGGTTGGGGTAGGCTTCCCTGAAGAGGAGGGTTTTCAGGGTGTGCCTGAAGGTGAGGAGGGTAGGCGACAGTCTGATGGATTGGGGTAGGGAGAGTTCCAGAGGATGGGGGAAGGCTGGAGAAGTCCTGCAATCGGGCGTGGGAGGAGAGGAGACCAGGGAGCTAGAGAGTAGGAGGTCCTGTGAGGAGCGGAGGGCACGGGTAGGGTAGTATTTGGGTATCAGGTCAGTTATGTAGTTTGGGGCGGCATTGTGAATGGCTTTGTAGGTCAGAGTTAGCAGTTTGAATTTGATGCGTTGGGCAATCGGGAGCCAGTGAAGGGATTGGCAGAGGGGGGAGGCAGATGTGGAGCGCTTGGTGAGGTGGATGAGTCTAGCCGCGAGTTTAGGATCGACTGGAGTGGGGATAGCGTTCGTTTGGGTAGGCCTACACTGACCACTGATATAAGGGGGTCCTTCTCCATTGGTCACCAATGTAAGGGACCACTACACTGACCACTGATATAAGGGGTCCTTCTCCCATTGGTCACCAATGTAAGGGACCACTACACTGACCACTGATATAAGGGGGTCCTTCTCACCAATGTTGGACCACTACACTGACCTGATATAAGGGGTCCTTCTCCCATTGGTCACCAATGTAAGGGACCACTACACTGACCACTGATATAAGGGGGGTCCTTCTCCCATTGGTCACCAATGTAAGGGACCACTACACTGACCACTGATATAAGGGGGTCCTTCTCCCATTGGTCACCAATGTAAGGGACCACTACACTGACCACTGATATAAGGGGTCCTTCTCCCATTGGTCACCAATGTAAGGGACCACTACACTGACCACTGATATAAGGGGTCCTTCTCCCATTGGTCACCAATGTAAGGGACCACTACACTGACCACTGATAAAGGGGGTCCTTCTCCCATTGGTCACCAATGTAAGGGACCACTACACTGACCACTGATATAAGGGGGTCCTTCTCCCATTGGTCACCAATGTAAGGGACCACTACACTGACCACTGATATAAGGGGGTCCTTCTCCCATTGGTCACCAATGTAAGGGACCACTACACTGACCACTGATATAAGGGGGGTCCTTCTCCCATTGGTCACCAATGTAAGGGACCACTACACTGACCACTGATATAAGGGGGTCCTTCTCCCATTGGTCACCAATGTAAGGGACCACTACACTGACCACTGATATAAGGGGGTCCTTCTCCCATTGGTCACCAATGTAAGGGACCACTACACTGACACACTGATATAAGGGGGGTCCATTGGTCTCCCATTGGTCACCAATGTAAGGGACCACTACACTGACCACTGATAAGGGGGTCCTTCTCCCATTGGTCACCAATGTAAGGGACCACTACACTGACCACTGATATAAGGGGGTCCTTCCCATTGGTCACCAATGTAAGGGACCACTACACTGACCACTGATATAAGGGGGGTCCTTCTCCCATTGGTCACCAATGTAAGGGACCACTACACTGACCACTGATATAAGGGGGTCCTTCTCCCATTGGTCACCAATGTAAGGGACCACTACACTGACCACTGATATAAGGGGGTCCTTCTCCCATTGGTCACCAATGTAAGGGACAAATACAATGACCACTTGGGATGATCTCTGGGTTTAGTTGTCGGAGAGTAGGGATGAGACGACAGTACAAACCAAACTTTGCCTGTTCCGGTCCCGTGTTTTGCAGGAGCCGATCATCACATGTAGAAGAGAGACATTTCTACCACTTCTATATATAACTAGGCGTGTCCATACTGGAGATTTCCATTTAGTTTGGATACATTCGTTCATTGAAGAATTTCATTTACTCCCCTTCGTTATGTTGGCCCAATTCATCTTCAGGATTTGTTTTGTATTTCCAGCATTTGTTTTGTATATTCGTTGGTTCGGGTGGATTTGATAAAGTTGGTGGTTTTTTCCAGAATATTGCTGTACATCTCAATCTCTGAAAATGACATTTTCATACAAAAAAACAAATTGAAACCAAATGTACACGTTTATATATAACAGCGTCCTGCACTGGGGCCTAAGGAAGCAACGGATACTTGTAACTGCCAAAATCCCCAGGAATCAGTGATGTCATTGGGAATCCCTGCCATGTAAGGAAGGGGGTGGGGATAGCAGTGACATCACTGACTAAATATGGCCAATGGTCACATTTGGACAATTGTCAGGAGCATCTAGCACTATTGCTCCATCACTGCTGCTGGTCTCATTCCAGATCCTGGTTTTGGATGTGATACATTCTCCCTGTCTGTCTGTCCAGCTGAAAGTTGATGGATGTTGCCAGTTTCTGGGTGGAGACCAAACTTGATTTAAGCCAGCCAAGCCTGCAGTCCCATGCTTGTGTGATATTGTGTTTTTAACACATGCTCCAATCTCCCTGTTTGTCTGCCAGTTTGGATTCCCTCATTGACGACCTCGGATCAGATATCTACTACTCTCTGAACTCTGCCTGCCTTTTGACTATGGATCTGACCCCGAGTACCCTGAACCTTGCCTGCCTTGTACCTGGACTGTCATTGAACCAATCTGTCTGTCTGCCAACCTCAAGTCCCTTTTTTCTGTGCTCAGTTCACACCTGCCCCAGCATGGTAGCCAGGCACTATAGCATTGTGTATAAGTCCTGAGAGTAACTGAGCTTGCCTTATGGGAAAAGGGGGCGGCTTTAGGTAAAGAACACAGAAGCCATCTCTAGTGTGTGACCACCTGTGTTAGGGGTAAGTGTGACATTATCACAAGTCTTTAACAAGAACGTGTTTCTGTGAAGATGGACTCTACACAGGACTCATGTATTTGCTGAGGAGATATGCAAACTGACACTCCAAGTCCAGGAACTGTCTGTGCATGTAAACGCACCTCCAGCAGGAATGCAGGAACCAGAGCCCAGGGTTATCCCGCCTGATCATGTTTCTGGTGACCCGACATGTTTTCCAACTTTAAAAACAGTTGTTTACTATGCTTCAAGCTCAGACCACACTCTTCTGGTTCTGAAGGACACGGGTTAACCTTGTTGTTACATGGTTGCAGGGGCCCCCAGTCTTGGGCTTTTAGTCTCCTCACAGATGACCCAGCCTGAAGGTCAGTTGGGTTTAATCAATGATAATCCTGACCGTGCCCACTCAGCAGAAACTAACCATCAGGATAAATACATCGCTGAACAATACTGTTCTGATTTCCACCACTGGTCACCTGACTCGGGGTGGAAGGGCCCCACGATCCAAGAAGCCGGTTCAGGTTAGGCCTATCCTTTATCCTCTGGGGAAAAGGCTAGAAGATCTCAGGGACTCTGCTTATACTGTGTGAGGACCATGGCCACTTTGTCACCAGCTGCTCCAATAAGCCAAGAAAAGGGCCCTTCCCCTGAACTTTTAAACTCTATTTTTAGGGCCCCGTCTAGTGCTCTGCTTATTCTACCCCCTGGAAAGCTGTTTGCTCCCCTCCACCTTAGGCTTACAGTGCTTTCAGAGGCATATCCAGCTAAGATGGCCGAGCTCCCAGGGAGTACTAAAACCTTTTCTTTGGTTTCTCGTGGGCTTTAGTGGCCTCTCTCCATAAGGACTCCTGTTTCTGTGTAAGAGCTTGCAGAATCTGTGCTCACTATAAGTCCTCAAAAGTCCAACACTCTGGATTACCCCTTCCTTTGCCTGTCCATAAACACCCTTGGATGCATGTCCAGGCTGACTTGTCCTCAAGGTCTGCTGCCTTTACACCTGCTGATGCTGTGGTCTAGTCTGTCTCTACACCTGCTGATGCGGTCTAGTCTGTCTCTACACCTGCTGATGCGGTCTAGTCTGTCTCTACACCTGCTGATGTGGTCTAGTCTGTCTCTACACCTGCTGATGCGGTCTCTAGTCTGTCTCTACACCTGCTGATGTGGTCTAGTCTGTCTCTACACACCTGCTGATGTGGTCTAGTCTGTCTCTACACCTGCTGATGAGTCTGTCTCTACACCTGCTGATGTCTAGTCTGTCTCTACACCTGCTGATGTGGTCTAGTCTGTCTCTACACCTGCTGATGCGGTCTAGTCTGTCTCTACACCTGCTGATGCGGTCTAGTCTGTCTCTACACCTGCTGATGCGGTCTAGTCTGTCTCTACACCTGCTGATGCGGTCTAGTCTGTCTCTACACACCTGCTGATGCGGTCTAGTCTGTCTCTACACCTGCTGATGTCTGGTCTGGTCTAGTCTGTCTCTACACCTGCTGATGTCGGTCTAGTCTGTCTCTACACCTGCTGATGCGGTCTAGTCTGTCTCTACACCTGCTGATGCGGTCTAGTCTGTCTCTGTCTCTACACCTGCTGATGCGGTCTAGTCTGTCTCTACACCTGCTGATGCGGTCTAGTCTGTCTCTACACCTGCTGATGCGGTCTAGTCTGTCTCTACACCTGCTGATGCGGTCTAGTCTGTCTCTACACCTGCTGATGCGGTCTAGTCTGTCTCTACACCTGCTGATGCGGTCTAGTCTGTCTCTACACCTGCTGATGCGGTCTAGTCTGTCTCTACACCTGCTGATGTGGTCTAGTCTGTCTCTACACCTGCTGATGCGGTCTAGTCTGTCTCTACACCTGCTGATGCGGTCTAGTCTGTCTCTACACCTGCTGATGCGGTCTAGTCTGTCTCTACACCTGCTGATGCGGTGGTCTGTCTCTACACCTGCTGATGTGGTCTAGTCTGTCTCTACACCTGCTGATGTGGTCTAGTCTGTCTCTACACCTGCTGATGTGGTCTAGTCTGTCTCTACACCTGCTGATGTGCGGTCTAGTCTGTCTCTCTCTGACCTGCTGATGCTGGTCTAGTCTGTCTCTACACCTGATGAGTCTCTACACCTCTGATGTCTGTCTACACTGCTGATCTGTCTGTCTCTAGTCTAGTCTGTCTCTACACCTGCTGATGCGGTCTAGTCTGTCTCTACACCTGCTGATGCGGTCTAGTCTGTCTCTACTACCTGCCAATGTGGTCCAGTCTGCTGCCTCCTGCTGCACCAGTTGTTCTGATTCAGCCCAGGCCAATTGAGCCTTTTTTCATTTTTGGGACTTTCAGTAACCGGGCCTCACCCTACTGCAACTATATCTGCTCAAACCTGTCTAAGAAGTTCCATCCAGCCTTTGGATAAACTGCCTCATTCAGCCATGTGGGGCCCACAACTTTGTCTTCAGGCCACTCTGCATGCAGCCTGCATTCAGCTTGACTTCAGTACCATGTCACCTTCTATCCAACCTGATGTTACAGGTTCTCTGCTGTCCAGTTTGGCTTCATAAACTCTATGCCTGCTAACCAACCTGACTTTGCTGATCCCCTGACCAGGGGTGGACTGACAACTCATGGGGCCCCCAGACAATAGGGGATCATGGGGCCCCTGTGTCCTTGCCCAAAACTCAAAAAAGCCTATGAAAAAGGTACCAGGGGCATCTCATGGGGCCCCCTACTGACCCTGGGCCCTCGGGCAGTGCCCAAGTTTCCAAATGGTCAGTCCACCCCTGCCCCCTGACCATTGCTCAGCATGCTGGTCCTTTGTTGGATGCCCAGCCTGATGGTCCTGTGCTGGATGCCCAACATGCCTTTAAGGGATTATTGGCCCCTTTCAGATGGAGGTTAATGTCAGGAACGTCTAGTGCCCCCAATCCATCACAACTGATGGTCTCATTACAGCATCCTGGTTTTAGCTATGATGCAGCAAGTCTCTGGGTGGAGAATAAATCTGATTTAAGCCAGCCAAACCTGCAGTCTCATGCTTGTGATAGTGTGTATAATACATGTTTAAGCTCCCTGTCTGTCTGTCCTGCTCTGCTGTTTGGATTCCTCTGTTTATGACCTTGGATCAGATATCAATTACTCTCTGAACTCTGCCTGTCTTTGGACCAGGGATTGGACCCTGATTACTACTCTGAATATTGCCTGCCTTGTCAATCAAATGTTGCCAAACACAACAACGCTCAAATCTTGGTGCTTCACAATTCCACATGGTATCTGTCACTTGATGAGGTGCAGCCCTCCACAGATGGGGGAATCTGGGAACTGTCAAAGACAACACACAAGAGGGAGCATTACCGTAATACCAAATTTATTAAAAAGATCACAAATGGAATCTCACAAGCCGACCAAAAAACAGACATAGAGCCAGATCTTCAGTCCCAGACAATGGGGTCCTGTCCCAAATACTGCCTGGTTGGGAAACTGATGCATTTTTCTGGAGATGAACTCGCCTTGTACCTGGACTGTCATTGAACCATTCTGCCTGTCTGCCAACCACAAGTACCTGTTGCTGTGCTCAGTTTGCACCTGCCCTGGTGTGGTAGCCAGGCACTATAGCATTGTGTATCAGTCCTGGGGGCACCGAGTACCAGTAGGCCTGCCTGCCTTATGGGAAAGGGGCTGCTATAGGTAAGACCACAGAAGCCAGATATAGTGTCTGACCACCTGTGTTAGAGAGAAGTGTGACAAGACCTCCAAGTGTTTGTGAAATCTCCCACCACAAAATGTACTCAGCCAATCACGGGGCAGGACTCCATTTTTATTCTTCTCCTGCTATCAATGGCCAACCCGGTCCCACACTTCATCCATGTCTTTGGGGACCTCTGATCTCCTTATGAACTGTTTCTTCCATGATGAAGATCAGCCATGGAGTATATCTGAGGTGTATATCAGGGTGTGCTTCTTCCCCACATGAGAGCTGGGATGTCCAGCAACATTCATCTAGAAGACATTTCCCGCACTCAAGGCACTAATACACCTCCAGGGTTGTGTGGGACCCCTGATGTACAGGAAGACAGGACTTCAGTGAGGAACATTTCCCTCACTCAGGACAGGAAAGTGGCTTTCACTCCTGCATGAGATCTCTGATGTTTGGAAAGATGGGGCTTCTGTGAAAAACATTTCCCGCACTCAGACAGAATAAGGCTTCTCCCCCGTGTGAGATCTCTGATGTGTGTGAAGATTGGACTTGTCTGAAAAACATTTCCCACACTCTGGACAGGAATACGGCTTCTCCCCTGTGTGAGATCTCTGATGTGTGTGAAGACTGGAATTGTGTGAAAAACATTTCCCACACTCTGGACAGGAATATGGCTTCTCACCTGTGTGAGATCTTTGATGTGTGTAAAGAATTGACTTGTTTGAAAAAAAAAAACATTTCCCGCACTCTGGACAGGAATACGGCTTGTGTCCCCCTGATGTGTGTGAGATCTCTGATGTTTGTGAAGACTGAACTTGTCTGAAAAACATTTTTTCCCACACTCAGGACAATGGGCTTCTCTCCTGTGTGACATCTCTGATGTTTGGAAAGAGTGGACTTCCATGAAAAACATTTCCCACACTCAGGACAGAAATATGGCATCTCCCCTGTGTGAGATCTCTGATGTCTGTAAAGATCAGACTTCTGTGAAAAACATTTCCCACACTTCGACAGGAATACAGGAATACGGTTTTCTCTCCTGTGTGAGATATCTGATGTGTGTAAAGATGGGACTTCTGTGAAAAACATTTTCCCGCACTCAGGACAGAATACGGCTTCTCCCCCGTGTGAGATCTCTGATGTGTGTAAAGACCGGACTTCTGTGAAAAACATTTCCCGCACTCAGGACAGGAATACGGCTCTCCCCCGTGTGATCTTTTATCTTTTAATGCACATTAAGTTTGTATTTAGAACAGGAAACCTTTCCCACCTCAGGACTGAGGTTCCTCAGGATACGAGGAAGCAGATGGTCCAAGCTCTTCCCTGTTGGAAGGCCGGCCTTTTTCCCGCACAGTCTGAGGTCCTCATCTACTCAGTCTGGAGACAATCCTCGAAGGTTTTCCTCATCTCCCGGCCATGGACTAAAATACAAAGACAAAGAGGATTACTAGACAGGAGCTGATTGGTTCCCCCAAACCAGGACTCCGCCCACATCAGGCAGCTTGGTCTCTGAGGAGCTTACAATTCCACCCTCAAGGGAACTAGGAAATGGCTCCTCTGATCTCCTACCAGGTCATTTCTTTATTCATGGACCTTAGTCAGAGAGTGAGGAAACAACCAGAACTGTCTTTTATAGGAGGGACAGTGATGAGGGGATTATAGGACGAGGGTCCCCACCCCCCTCTATCACTCATCGCCATCTTCCCAACACAAGAAGTACTGCACTTCCTTATTTAGTCCATGATTTAGTCATGAAGAACAGCGGGGCTGAGCCCCACCAGAGGTCAGAGAGTGAGGATGGGGGGGGGGAGAACAACCAAGATGAAGACTGGACTGATCCTGAAGACCACCATCATTGGGGTATTGACTCCTCCCTCATTATCACTTTCTGTTTAAGGGTCCAAAGTTGGAGGATGTTATCACATTATTATCACCATGTAAAAGTCTGTGCTCCAATCACATCATCCGATATAAAATGTCCAGCTGGGAGGAAATGGGTGTAAAAAATTAAGACCATATGTAATGTCCAACTTATCATAAAGGATACAAAAGTTAGGACTATACAGTATTAGTTTTCTTCTATATTCATCTGGTGATCTAGCCAGTAAATCTGTTGTTTTATAAAGACCATTTACCACTGACAGGGGGCTTACAATGATCAGCTTTTATTTATTCATGTACAAAAAGTTTATCCCAAAGGGAAAAACCTGTTTGTAATGAAACTGATTATGAAGTGTGAGCTGGAGTTTGGCTTCAATTAGTTTCTGTTTTTAAATCTGCTAGTACATCTAACACTCCCCTCCCCCCAGACTGACCATGCTGCTGTCTCCACAGTGGGGGCGCTCTAATGCAGAAGGTGTGTTACTGGCCAGATCACCAGGTGAAAACAGGGAAAAAAGCCAAAGAAAAGGAATGCAGCCGCCACATCCAATGATTGGTAAGCTACAATATGGGACATTTGTGGTTTAACTGCTTGCCGACCCGCCGCAGTGTTTTTACTGCAGCAGGGCGGCACCTGTACGCACAGTGCCGTCTTTTAATGTCGCTGTGCAAAACAGGTAGGGGGCGCGCATGTCCCCCCTACCCTACCCGCCGATCATGGCAGTGGGTGTCCATCACCGGCTCCCGGCAGGTGGGGCTGGACCATACTTGGCAGGGGGTGGCAGTGGACGTGGTATACTTGGACAGAGGGGGGTGGTATACTTGGACAGAGGGGTGGGGTGGATACTTGGACAGAGGGGTGGCGGTGGACGTGGTATACTTGGACAGAGGGGTGGCGGTGGACGTGGTATACTTGGACAGAGGGGTGGCGGTGGACGTGGTATACTTGGACAGAGGGGTGGCGGTGGACGTGGTATACTTGGACAGAGGGGTGGCGGTGGACGTGGTATACTTGGACAGGGGGGGGTGGACGTGGGCGGTGGACGTGGTATACTTGGACAGAGGGGTGGCGGTGGACGTGGTATACTTGGACAGAGGGGTGGCGGTGGACGTGGTATACTTGGACAGGGGTGGGGTGGAATGTGGTACTTGGAACAGAGGGGGCGGTGGTGGTTAATACTTGGACACAGTTCCCCACACAGTGGGGCTAATGTGTAAGGTAAAGTCTATGGGCTGGAAAAATCTGAATGTAAATGGATAGAAAACTGGCTAAAAGATCGTATTCAGAGAGTAGAGGGGTACCCCAGTGGTTAATGTATTATTCAGTGGGTCTACCTGAATGGTCAGGGGTTTGTCAGTGGGGGTACCCCAGGGTTCAGTGTTATTAGTGGGGTACCCCAAGGTTCAGGTTCAGTGTTATTAGTGGGGTACCCCAGGGTTCAGTGTTATTAGTGGGGTACCCCAAGGTTCAGTGTTATTAGTGGGGTACCCCAAGGTTCAGTGTTATTAGTGGGGGTACCCCAGGGTTCAGTGTTATTAGTGGGGTACCCCAAGGTTCAGTGTTATTAGTGGGGTACCCCAGGGTTCAGTGTTATTAGTGGGGTACCCCAAGGTTCAGTGTTATTAGTGGGGTACCCCAAGGTTCAGTGTTATTAGTGGGGTACCCCAAGGTTCAGTGTTATTAGTGGGGTACCCCCCCCAGGTTCAGTGTTGGGCCCCTTACTTATTAATATATATATAAACAATATGGGGTGTGAGATTATAAACCCCATTCCAGTCTTTGCAGATGACACCAAGCTGTGCCGGGGAATAACGTCCTTACAGGATGTCTCCAACTTACAAGCCGACCTCAATGCTCTGTGTAATTGGGGGACTATGGGGCCAATGAGGGCTAATGGTGATAAATGTAAGGTTCTGCACTTGGGGGGGCTAAGAATATGCATGCATCATACATACTAGGGGGGTACAAAAGGGGGGTCAATGGTGAGGATCTGGGGGGGGTCAATGGCAGAGAAGGATCTGGGGGGGGTCAATGGTGAAGGATCTAGGGGCAATGGTGAAGAAGGATCTGTGGGAAAATTGTGGAGAAGGATCTGAAGGACAATGGTGGAGAAGGATTTGGAAGGACAATGGTGGAGAAGGATCAGGGGGGGTCAATGGTAGAGAAAGATTTGGGTGGGTCAATGGTGGAGAATGATCTGGTGGGGTCAATGGTGGAGAATGATCTGGAACTGGGGGGTCAATGGTCTGGAAAGGATCTGGGGGGTCAATGGGGGGAGAAAGATCTGGGGAGGTAAAAGGTGGAGAAGGATTGGGGGTTCTAGTAGATCACAAGCTTAATAATGGCAGCAATGCAAAGTTGTGGGTTCTAAAGCGAGCAAAATCCTCTCTTGTATAGGGGGAGAGGTATAGACTCCAGAGAGAGAGATATAACACCCCCCCCCCCCCCCCCCCGGGTAAAAATCATTAGTAAGACCTCATCTGGAATATGCAGTTCAGTTTTGGGCTCCAATTCACAAAAAGAACATTGGGGAACTGGAGGAAGTACAGAGGGGGAAACCAAACTGATACGAGGCATGGGAGGAGATCAGCTATGAGGAAAGATTAGAGGAACTGAATGTATTCTCTACTGAGAAGAGGAGATTAAGGGGGGATATGATCTCCATGTATAATACATAAGGGGGGATATGATCTCCATGTATAATACATAAGGGGGGGGGGGGATATGATCTCCATGTATAATACATAAGGGGGGATATGATCTCCATGTATAATACATAAGGGGGGATATGATCTCCATGTATAATACATAAGGGGGATATGATCTCCATGTATAATACATAAGGGGGGATATGATCTCCATGTATAATACATAGGGGGGGGGATATGATCTCATGTATAATACATAAGGGGGGGATATGATCTCCATGTATAATACATAAGGGGGGATATGATCTCCATGTATAATACATAAGGGGGGGATATGATCTCCATGTATAATACATAAGGGGGGGATATGATCTCCATGTATAATACATAAGGGGGGATATGATCTCCATGTATAATACATAAGGGGGGATATGATCTCACCATGTATAATACATAAGGGGGGATATGATCTCCATGTATAATACATAAGGGGGGATATGATCTCCATGTATAATACATAAGGGGGGATGATCTCCATGTATAATACATAAGGGGGATATGATCTCCATGTATAATACATAAGGGGGGATATGATCTCCATGTATAATACATAAGGGGGGATATGATCTCCATGTATAATACATACATTGGGTCCAAAATATATCAAGGGGGATATGCATGTATAATACATAAGGGGGGACTATAGTGTACATCTCATGTATAATTATACATAAGGGGGATATGATCTCCATGTATAATACATAAGGGGGGGATATTGTCTCCATACCCAAATGCAACTAAAATGACATCAATTGTTTATGTAATATCTCCATGTATAAATGGTTCTTATGTGGTTTCTTCATTGCCACAATATATTCAACCCCTTAAAACTACATCTGGGGGAACAGATGTTCATACATAAGGGGGGTGCTTTCCATCAGGTATTGAAAACACCTGTGGATGTCCACCGAGCAGCAAGGGGGGATATAATCTCCACCAATTAGGCAGCTTTAAGGGGGGGACTGTGATACTCAGCTCCTTCTAGACATTTACTGGTGTGGTTATGAAACATGGTGAAGGCAAGAGAATGGTCCAGGAAGACAAGAGAAGAGGTGATTTCTCTTCACAGGAAGGGTATAATGGCTATAAGAAGATTGCAAAGATGTATAAACATACCAAGAGACACCTTAGGAAGCATCATTCGCAAATTCAAGGCAAAGGGCACTGTTGAAACGCTACCTGGTCGTGGCAGAAAGAAGATATGACTTCGACTGCTGTGCGCTACCTGAAGCGTAGGGGAGAGAAGTCCCGTGTGACTGCTGAGGAACATGAGAAAAGATTTGTCAGATGTGGGTACAGAAGTTTCAGCCCAGACAATAAGACGCACACATGCGTATAATGAAGGCCTCCGTGCCAGAACTCCCAGGCGTACCCCCTTGCTGTCTCCAAAGAATAAGAAGAGGACTGCATATATGCCAAAAGCCATGTGGACAAACCACAAAAGTTGGGGATAGTGTTCTGTGGACTGATGAAACAAAGGGGGGAACTGTTTGGGCCCATGGATCAACGCTATGTTTGGGGGGAAGAACAAGGCCTATGATAATAAAGGGGGGAACACCTTGCCTACTGTATAAGCATAAGGGGGGATAGGGTCAATCATGCTAAGGGGGGGTTTTGCTTCTGTAGGTACAGGGAAGATATTCAGCGTGTGCAAGGGGGTACCATGAATTCTCTTCAGTACCAGGGGGGAGATATTGGATGGAAACGTGGGGGCAGTCCGTCACACACCTGAGGCTAAGGGGGGAGACGTTGGACCTTTCATAAGGGGGGATATGATCCCAAGCATACCTCCAAGTCCACTAGAGCATGGTTGCAGAGGAAAGGCTGGAAC